GGTGTCCTTCTTCATGTTAGGTACTCGTCTGTTCATGAGGGCGGGTTTCCAAATGGCTGGAAGGCGGGAGGTGTCATCTCGTTTGTTCATGCTGTGTGGGCGTTTTTCTATCTCTATGGCTTCTCTGATTATTCTGCTGTTGAAGTGTTCGGTTTTGGCGATAGTTCTGGTATTTTTAAAATCAATTTCATGTCCTGTGGCTTTGAGGTGTTGGACCAGGGAAGAGGTCGTTTCTTCTTTTTTGATTGAGTTCTTATGTTCTTCAATGCGTGCACTTATTCTTCTGTTAGTTTGTCCAATGTATGTGGTAGGGCAGGCAGTGCAGGGGATTTCGTATACTCCTTGGTTTTCTAATTCGATTTTGTCTTTGGGGTTTCTTAGGATGGTGGATATTTTTCTGTTTGTGCAGAATGCTGTTTTGATGTTGTGTTTTTGGAGGATCTTGCTAATTTTGTCTGTAGTGCCTTTTATATATGGGAGGAGGGCTTTGCCGTTTTCTTGTTCTCTGTTCACCTAATCCAAAAAGAAACCCCAACCAAAATCCAAGACAGAGAACAAGAAAACGGCAAAGCCCTCCTCCCATATATATAAAGTTTTTGTGAGTATTTATATATATGGTATTCAGCTTTGTTCGGGTATTTTCCCACGTCATTATAGTTGTGCATTTAAAGTTGTAGCAACGTTTCGGCAGAATCTCATCTGCCATCATCAGGCTTCTGTATTGTGTTCGTCTGTGAGTCAGACTTTCACAGCCGTTTCTGTTTTAAATTTGGAGCTAGCCATCTGCTGTGCTAGAATGGTTTTTTCTTCATCCTGATTGGTTGGGAGTCTTGGTCTGTGTTTATTGGTCTTGGAGTTTGCTGTGTTCTGCTTGATTGGTGTTTCTAATATCTTCTGTCTGTTTTGTGGCTTTTTTTGTCTTGATTGGCTGGCAACATTGTGTTTCCTGTATTGGAGGCTTTTAGTGTGGCTTGGCTCTGAGTAAACAGACGTCTATCATTTATTAGGAAGCTAGGTTTCATCTGGGTACCTGGTTGGGGTGTGTTTGAGCTGGTGGTATCAGGGGGAGTCTGTTTGTGCCCAGGTATTTGCCTGGCTTGTGGTGTGGAGATTTGAGAGTGCAGGCTTCCAGATAATTGACAGTCTGTTGGAGTCATCTCTTCTATTCAAGCTTTCAGGTCTTTTTTCAATCTCAATGGTTTCTGATAATTCTTTCTATAGTGGCTAAGGTTTTGGTGCCATTGAAGTCGATGCTATGACCTGTTCTGTCTCACCTGTAGCCACAAGGTGAGAGTCCAAATTTCCAAAGGAAAATGCACAAACAGACAGGAACAGGAACAACAGAGTTAACTTCCTTTGGTTGAATCCGTCTTTGGCAGTTTTCCCAGAAGCTGCCTACCAAGTCTGATAACGAGCAGAACCATAAATCAGAGGCGAGCGCCACACAGAATAATTTGTCTGAACTGATAACTCAAATAAACAAGTTGACCCGAACAGGGATTCAGAGCTAACACGTCTCCTTATACTCCCTGAGGGGTGTGTCAGTCTCTTTTCTCAGTCTCTGATTTGACATTTCCTTTTACGTTGTATGTCACGTTTCTGCCTGCGTCTTTGCCTTGCATCAGACCAGCATTTCTTGGCTTGATCTTCAGCCAATGACTCCGGCACGCTCTCCTGATTATCTGCCGACACCTGTGGCACAATCAGGGAGGAAGATTCTGAGGAGAAAGACGACTCCGAAACTTCCAGCAAAGCAGGCTCAAATCTTAGAGCCAAGTCCTCCTCTTCCTCCTGGCTCCCGTCTGTGTCACTCAACAAAGCAGGCTCAAACCTTAATGCCAGATCTTCCTCATCACTCGAGCCTATGTCTTCTGACAGAGCAGGTTCAAACCTCTGAGTCACAACAATGACCTGTGGCTTTCATGTGTTGGACTAGTGAGGAAGTGTGTTCCAGCTTTTTTACTGCATTTTTGTTTTCATCCAGGCGGGTATTTATTCTTCCATTGGTCTGTCCAATGTATGCGGCAGGGCATGATGCACAGGGGACTTCATACATGCCTTGGTTTTCCAAGTCAGTTTTATCTTTGGGGTTTCTTAGGATGGCTGCTATTTTTCTGTCTGTTTTGAAGGCAGTCTTGATGTGATGCCTGTGTAGTATCTTACTGGTTTTGTCTGTAGTACCTCTTATGTAGGGCAGAACAGCTGTTCCATAGGTCTGTTCATCTTCTAGGTCTCCATTATGTCTCAGTGTGTTTTTGTGGCTCAGGCCTGTGATTTTGCTTTTGTGGAAGCCGTTGGCTGTCAGTACTTTAGTCAGGGTGCATAGTTCAGTCTTTATGCCAGGCGTTTGGTTCTGGCAATTAGTGCTTTGGCCACGGAGTTTATCTGTGCTGGGTGGTGGTGGGTTTGGGCGTTGAGGTAGCGGTTGGTGTGTGTTTTCTTCTGGTATATGGTGTGTCCTAGTGTGCCATCTGTTTTTTTGTAGATTAGTACATCTAGGAATGGTAGTTGTTTGTTTGTTTCCATTTCCATGGTGAATTTGATTTTGGGGTGTGTGCTGTTTAGGTGTGTTAGGAAATTGTTTAGGTTTTCTTCTCCATGGGGCCAAATAACAAATGTGTCATCAATGTATCTTAATGATAGTTTGGGTTTGTGGATGGCATGGGCTAGGGCTCTGGATTCGAATTGTTCCATGAACAAGTTTGCAATGATGGGTAACAGTGGTGATCCCATAGGGGCTCCTTCAATTTGCTTATATCTTTGTCCTTTGTATATGAAATATGCGTTGGTTAAGCAGTGTTCTGCTAGTTCCATGAGGTGTTTGGATGTTTGGTATTTATTTTTGATGATTTCGAGAGTTTCTTTTATCGGGACTTGAGTGAATAGTGAAACCACGTCGAAACTTACGAGCAGATCTTCTTATTCCCTGTGTAGATCTTTGATCATTTCCAAGAGGTGGTATGAGTTTTGTACATGTGAAGCTGCTGCTTCAGCATAGGGTTGTATCTGCTTTGCTAGGTATTTGGCTAGGTTTTGTAGTGGTGCTCCTCTGGAGCTGACTATGGGTCTGAGAGGTATGCCTTCTTTGTGTATTTTTGGAAGGCCGTATAGTTTGGGGCATCTGGAAGATTTTTCTCTTGGGGTGATCGTCTGTTGGATCTCTTTGCTCATGTGGCTGGTTATAATTTTCTTCTTGGTTATTTTTTCCAGATATGTGGTTGGGTCTGTGTTTATGGGTTTGTAAAAAAAAGCACAACTATAATGACATGGGAAAATACCTGAACAAAGCTGAATACCATACATATAAATACCCGCAAAAACTTAAGAAAACAATACACACACACACACACACACACACACACACACACACACATATACACACACACATGGTATTAAATGTTGGTATCAAAATGTTACCAACACACACACATGGTATCAAAATGTTCCTTGCATATACATGCCATGAAGCGTCTTGCACCAATGCTGGAGCCCCTACTCCTCATAGAGCCCCTGTGTTCAGTGGGCACGCACAGATTCTTGACCACAGAATCTACGGAGAGCAGCTCAGGGGAATGAAAGTTTCGTGATTCCATTGAAATAGTAGAAATAAAAATCCCTTTCAGATCACAGAGTGACACCTGCTTCCGTGGCTGCCATTCTCACCGGACTCCCTTCAGAGAGCGTGCCTCCCCGCTGGATCGATCGAAGGCCCAGCGCTGAGGGAGGACTAGTAAGGAGGCAACGCCTGGGGTTGAGCCTCCGTACGCCTTTGCCTGGACTCCTTTCCCTGCGGACTCAGTGCCCCACCCCCTGTCCTCCTGTAGGGCTTTCTGCAGGGGACTCCTGCCAGCGGAGCTTGCTGGTGAATGCAGAGGGACCCGAGAGAAAGGAATCCTAGGGCCGGCTCCTTCTTTGGCCCAGGGCAGGCATCCTCCAGCCATTCTGGACCAAGGGTTGTCCAGCCTGGAAAACCTCCAGGGACAGAGCATCTGCCGCCTTATGAGGCAGACTTTTCCATTGCTCAGGAGCTCCTACCCTCCTGAGCTTGGATCTCTCCCTTTTTCACCCACATATTCTATGTCAACTTCCTTTGATCAGACCTAATCTAGATACTTTGAGGCAGCAGAAACAAGTGGACCCATTAAATTGTGCCCTATATTTCAAACTGGTCAGCTTTGGCTGAGTTATTATCAGCTGCTTCTTGGATAGCATTTGTAATTGTTTTTCATTCTTATTTTTCTTCTGTCTTGTAAACTATTGTACAAGGACTCTAAGGTGGATAATGTAAGCCCAAAAGTAAACATGCCCTCTTGCTTAGTGAAAGTGCATGATAGAGATCCTGATACCTGCACACGTCCTCTGGCCCTATGTTCCCTTTGGGGTAGGCAATGCCAGGCAACCCAAAGAGGGAATTCCCATCAAATCCAGCTTAGGCCAAGGCTGCTTATGACGCCTCCTCACGTCTTTCTACCCTTCTGGTAATTAAAATTAAACCCAAATATCTCATTTGAATCATTATTGGGGAAACTGGGAATATTTAGAATCTATAACTTGTATGAATAAAGAAAGCAGTTGCCAAAGGAAAAATGCAACAGCTGCAGCAGCTTCCAAGTCAGATGGAACACCAAGGCCAGCGTGCCAAGCCAACCCATCCCAAGCAGCCGGAGAGGGTGGCCGGCGTCCTCTTGGAACGATCAGAGAAGAACAGCAATTCTGGGCAGCTTGTCACAATCAGTCTTGTTAGGGAGAAACCCTGAAGCAGCTTCCATGGCATTCCAGAAACTTGCTGCTCATGGGGAGCAAACCAACAGCTAACAAATACCAATCGTATGCTGGTAAGTTCTCAACTTGTCTGAAATTAACTTACTTTCAATAAAGCGTTTTTTTTAAATGAGACCATACATGTATATCTTAAATGTACTTACCTCTGTTATATGAGGATTAGGATCAAAGCCGCATAAACTGCAGACAACGGTTTGACACTGGGTGCAAGTGTTATAATTGGCCTTCTCAGGATCCTGCAGGAGGAGTTCGGTGGTTGTGCAAAGTGAGCAAAAGGTGACCTTTGTGGCTTGTAATCCAGGTTGTGACGGAGCCACAGGTTGCTGCTGGGAAGGTCTGGACAGTGGAAGACCAGGTTTCGTAGGCCCCGTCTGGGGCTGGACTTGAACAGTGGGCTCAGCCTGTTGGGCGGGAGGCTTTGCCGGGAGCCCAGACTGCTGAGGGGACTGCTTTCCAGGTCCTCCAGGCTGGGGGAGGGCTGCTTTTGTGGGACCGGTCAAACGATGCAGTGGTGGCTCAGTGGATGCTGCTGGCTCGGCCTTCGTAGGCCCTTCCGGCTGTTGAGCTTCCTGCTTAGGAGGAGCCGCTCCCTGCTGGGCAGCTGGTTTTCCGAAAGCAGGGGGCGGGGAGGCTGTTTTGCCCAGGCCCACACCGGGAGGCCTTTCAGCTCCTGGCTGCTGGGGGGAAGGTCTTGCAGGCCCCGTCCACTCTGGTTTTGGGAACTGGGACGAGGGTGGTCCTGGGTACGGTCCTGCTTCCACTGTGGTTTGGCCAGAGTGCAGTTTCTGGCTCTGCCTAGGCGTTCCAGGAGGCAGTTGCTGCTGCTGCTGCTGCTGTGGTGGTGGTGGCTGCGGCGCCTGCTTGGGAGGTGCTGCTTTTTGTGGGGCCGGTTTGACAGGCCCATGTTGTGGACCACTTGGCTTGGGAGATGAATGTGGCAGAGGCTGCTTGGAGAGCCCCCCTTGTGGTTCAGTTCTACCCTGTTCCTTTTGGGGGGGCTTTGCTTTCTTGGAGGCTTCATTTTGGTTTGTATCTGAGTCGGAGATGAAATCAAAAGGATTGAATTTATTTACAACTGATGTGACTGCACCAAACGGGTTGGCATCTGAGAGAAAGCTGGGCATCATAGTTGGCTTCTGATCCTCTTTTAAGTCAGTCTTTGATTTAGACTCTCTCAAACTCATGGACGATGTGCTTCTTCCAGGGACCCGTTGCTCCGTTTTCAGGGTATCAACTGTTTTGCTTTTTGTGAGTGTGGCAGGCCCAGGATCTGGAGGCTTGCCCTGGTGTGTGGGATGATCACTGCCATCAGGTGGGGCGGGTCTGTAAAGATATCAGGATATAAGCAAAGTTAACCTCCGAGTATTAGAAACAAAAACCAGAAAATGAATTCAAGGTTTTAATTCAAATAAAGATGACCTTCCCATTTCCCATCCTTCACATGAGGAGGTCATTTTCCAAATTGAGAGGATAGGTGACAGGTGACAAGTAGGTGATGTAAAATTATATATGACATTTCCTGCTGGGGCTGATGAATTTTATTAGTGGCTATTGTTATATTTACTAGTTTCTGACTTTCACTGTAGTATGTTTATGGACCAGCAAAAATCCAACCTGAGAAACTTCTCATCTTCAAAGAATCCTAGCATTGGAAGGAATCTTGAAGGTCTTAAGACCTGGAAAACCTCAGACCGCCCCAGGCCAACGGCTTCCCAATCTTCACTTCAAAATCCTCAGTGAATGAGACCCCATGACTTCAGAAGGCAGAGAAACTCTTCCACTATTTAAAAGCTCTTGAAGAGTGAAGCAAAAGGCTAAGCTGAATAGCCACTTTGGACAATTTTTGTCCAACCTTTTACACAGGCATTACACACTGTTAAGACATGAATATATAATTCAAAAATCAAATGAATCCCACCAACCAAGGACTGAAGTGGCTGAATAGTTTTAAGACCAGAAAGGATGGCCCATTTTTTTCAGGCTACATCTGACTGGATGGATGAGCATAATCCATTGTGCATGCCTATACTTCAGAAACTCAACATTGCACAAGGAATGTATCAAAAATGAAGCTTTTTATCTCCGAATTTATGTCAGGTAAAAATGATAATAATGTACATAAAGCAAAAGTCAATAAAAGACTTAACTTTTAGTTCTAATGTGTGTGCTGCCACTATTTTGGAAAAATGTCAGAGTGAAATTCTGTTCTCTTCAGCAGAGTTGGTGTTGGTGAATGGCTGAGATACATTTCTCTCTCTCTGAAGAATAGTTTGTTCCTTAACTCTTCTACTATATTTTGAGTTATGTGTTTCAGTTTTCAGCATCAACTATTAAAAGTCCTGATGTTTACAGACATTATTCCCCGCTGCACATTAATTTTAAAAGTATGTTACTCATGACATTTAACCTATTAAAATTTCTCTGCTCTGCGAATAATAAAAATAAAGTGACCCTGCAATCATTTTTAATCAAGAGCTTCTTCAGGGTGTCGCGACGATATGGCATGCGATCTTGGAGGTCTGAGATCGCTGCCGATATCCTTGCTCCTGGACAGTCCAATCGGATCTAAACCGTCCCAAAGAGACAGTGAATGTAAAGAGCGCATCCTGTCAATCCCAGGGATACCGTAAAGTCCCTGGTAGATCCAGGAGAAACTCTTTTTGCCAGCGGCAAAGAGGCAGCCATTAAAGCTGCTGAAGTTGGAACAGCTCTGAAACAAAAGAGAACGGAAAGAGAAAGTGTGTCGGTTTGGTGAGAACTTTTTCTTTACTTTAAGATTTGAAAGGACAGCCTAAGGAAAAGAAAGAATCTGTAAAAGTTTTGACAGAAGTGATTAAGCAGCGATTTTAAACAGGAAGTCAAAGTAATATTTTTTTATTTTCTCATTGCTGGATTTTCTATACATGATTTTACCATTTTGAAACTGGACTGGTTTTTTTTCTTCTTCTTCCACCTATTCTTTCTCTCCTTTTTGACTTTATAATATTTTATGCTAGAGACTCCCTTTTAGTCATCTTTTTAAATATCTTTTCCCCTTTTTAATTAATTTTCATTATATTTTGTTTGGAAAAGGAGGGGGAAAGTGAAAGCAAAAGAAACTTTGTAACACTGCCAACTAGAGGCTTGGAAATATTTTTTTTTCTTGACCAGACAAAGCTGAGAAAGAACTGAGACTTCTTTTCAAGGACTTTGAGCCTGTTTGATAAGATAAAGGGAAGAGCATGGGAGAGTATTATTGCAGGTACTCTTCTGGGTTTCTATCAACAGCTGGAGTCTGGTGTTGAAGCTTATAGAAAAAAAAGGGTGGTAAGACTCTGGAGAAGAGAGTTATAAATTTTAACAAAAGCCTTGGACAATCAAACAAGGTACAGTGTGCTCTTTTTATTTTTTTTAAACTCCGCTTTTTCTTACTTTAACAAACCCCCTCCTTACTAGTTTACTTTTTGTAATAGCTATTTGAATTTTTGGCCTTTTGGAACTTGATTTTTGTCTTGTTTTTTGTCTTTTGAAGTTAAATTTTTATGTTTGCATTTTATTTTAAAGGAAAAGTTTTAGTATTAATGATTTCTTTCCTTTTTTTTAAAGGGAGTAGTCCCTTTTCTTTTTTCTCTCTCCCTCTCCTGTATTTTTTTTCCTCTATTTACCTTACATATTGGGGTTTTTTTGTGGCTTTCTTTTTTTTTCTTATGCATCCTTTTATACCTGAGACCTCTTAATTGGATTAAGGTGTTGAAGAACCTAAAGAACTCCCCCCCCTCCTTTTTAGTTTTTTGCTTTTACTTTTCTGTCTTTTTCAGGATTTAACAATTTTTTCTTTTTTGTGTGTGTTTATGCTTTTTTCTTCCATTTTTGAGTTTTTACTGCTATCTAGCCAATTGATTGGATTAAGGTATACAAGAACCTGAATAATAATAATAATAATAATAATAATAATAATAATAATAATAATTATTATTATTATTATTATTATTACGACTATTTGGTTTCTTTTTTCCTACTATTTTTATTTGGAATTGCAACTGGTTATTTCACAAGTGGATTAAGGTCCAGAAGAACCTGAATATTTTGAATTGTTTGAAATGAGTAGGAAACTAACAGCCCCTGGCTCCTCAACTTCTACTTCTTCCTCTTCGCCATCTGAAGGACAACGTTCAATACAGACAATGTTACAGCAAGAAAAGGAACAGGAAAAAGTGACCCTGCAGATGATTATGCAAGGAATTCAAAATATTCAAATAAGAACAGAGAATATTGAAAAGAGAATAGAGAACATTGAACAGAGAACAGGGAAAACTGATGAAGAGGTGGAGAACATTCAACAAATGATGAAGTATGATAAGAGATTCCAAAAAAATGAAGAAGAAGATAAACAAAGATATAAGAAGATTGGAGACTTCGATAGCAGAGTAACTGTGGTTGAACAAGATAAAAGTGGGATGCTAGATGGGAGATGGACAGGTCAGAATTTTATCTCAGATTCCAAAACATAGAGGAAGAAAAGGGACAAAACCTAGCTGAGATAATGATAGAAATTTTGGCTGAAGCTTTGGAAATAACTAAAGAGAAGATGATGGATGGAATAGATGAGGTTTATCGAGTCTTCACAAGATATGCAATGAGAAATTGCTTACCAAGAGAAGTTCATATCAGATTTACAAAGAAAGCCATTAAAACGCAAATATTACAAGTGGCAAGAGAGAAAACATTGAAATATAAAGACAAGGAGATTGTGGTCCTGAAACAAGTACCCAGAAGAGGGAGAGAGATGAGAAGAGAATACCGATTTCTGACCAAAATGCTGCTTAAAAAGAGGTGAATTATAGATGGCTGATTCCAGAAGGTTTAACGTTCACATGGCAAGAACAGAGACATAGAATTGACTCAATTGAGAAAGCTGAATTATTTTACACAGAATATTTTGGAATTATTTTACACAGAATATTACACAGAATATTTTGGAGGGAAAGAGGAGGAGGCAGAAAAAGAAATGTCACTAATTGAATTCCAAGAGGATTGCCAAATGGCGACTGAAAAAGAAGGTGAAGTAGGTGGAAAGGTGGAAGTCAAAGAACATGAACCAAGATCTACGAGAGCTGCTAAACCTAACTACAAAATATAATCATGGAAGAGAAAAAACTGATTACAATTAATATAAATGGACTTAACTCAGCTGTTAAAAGAAGGAAAACTTTCCATAAATTAGAGAAATTAAAATTTGATAAAATCTGCCTACAAGAAGTACATATCAAAAAGGAACACGAACAATTGCTGATACAGCCAAAATTAGGGAAAATATTTACTTCTTTGACACAATGCAAGAAAAGAGGAGTGGTTTTATACATTAAAGATATTATCCCAGTGAAATTGATCTATACTGATGACGATGGAAGAACACTAATGGTGGAAGTAATAGACAATAATATGAAAACCCTCCTGATTGCAATCTATGCCCCGAATGACAATCAAGAAGAATTTTATAAAAAATTATGCATGAAAATAATTGAACTGGACTATGCTAATATAGTTATGATGGGAGATTTTAATGGAATTGTAGATAATAAACTGGACTATACAGCACAGAAAACAATAAAGCAAAACAGAAAGACTCTTCCTAAATCTTTTTTTTTAATGGTAGATGAAATAAATTTAAAAGATACATGGAGAGAAAGAAATGCTAAAACTAAACAATACACCTTCTATTCAAATAGACATTTATCATAGTCCAGAATAGATATGATATGGATGTCAACAGAATTGTTAGCTAATATTCAAGAAATAAATATTGAAACAAGTACTTGGGCAGATCACAATCTAATGACAATTCAATGGAAAGGACAAAGAAGAAGATCTAGATGGACGTTAAATAATACTATATTAAAGGAAAAAGACTTCACACAGTGGATGGAGAAAGAACTGGCTTTCTTCTTTAGAGAAAACAAAAAGGAAGATACATCAATCCAAAATGTATGGGATATAATGAAGGCATATGCCAGAGGCTTGATAATAGACTATACAAGGAAAAGAAATACCATGAAAAGATTAGCCTCTAAGGCCTTAGAGGATGAGTATAAAGGACTTGAAAAAGAGCTACAGAAAGTGCCACAGAAAAAGGACATGAAGTTAAAAATGGATATAATCAAACATAAAATGGGTCTAATAGAAAAAGAATTAGCACAGAAAATCAGAGGTACTAAACAGAACTATTTTGAAGATGCAAATAAACCAGGTAGATGGTTAGCATACAAATTGAGAAAGGAGAAAGAATCAAGGAAAATATTGCAATTAATAGATGACCAAGGCCAAGTTTCCTATGGTAATAAAGA